TCATTGAAAGGACGACTCAAGTATAAATGCAATATAATTTGGCAATTTAGGCCAGAATAATGCGATCCATTCATTGTTTTTCCACTGTCGAAATAAACGCTAGAGAGCTCGTAAACTGCGATTACGTGATTAAAGAAAATCCAGATGAAGGAAAAAATTATTTTCAGCATCATCATCATCATCATCATCATTGTGGTTGACTTAATGGACATAGTTCGTTGCAATGAAATTGACGCGGCCATTACTTCTGCTATACATAGGGGATTCCCTGTCAAGTGGTATTTCGTTTTTTCTTTCTTACTTCGTAACATTTACCCCTTAAGCGGTCTTCTCATATTACTTTATTAACTTAAAGTTAAGCTACTTGTACTTGTATGCTTAGACCTGACTTTGATCTTCAATGCATATGAAGCTTGACACAATTTGTAAAGACATCAATAAAATTTATACGATCGTTATCCATAGATTTGCTCTGCATTCCTTACGTACTTTTCAATCGAACAAAAAAAAAAATAAATAAAAATAGCTTATGCGTTTTAAAAAGAAATTTTGTTTTTTGCGCCGTCAGAAATAGCACTGGCTCATAAACCTATCGCAATCTCTAAAATAGCGTTCCAGAGTAATAAATTTATACAAAAATAAAAAGATTTTACGTTTAATCGTTAAATACTCAAATGCTTACTTACGATAAAAGTCGTATAATATTTTACATAAATGTAACGTTGCGAAGGTATCGGTTTGAGAGAGAGATATATAAGATAGATAGATATCTTTGCTAATAAAATGTATACATTTTATGATTTGATTTTGATTGGACAAAGAGAAAAGAAAAAAAAAAAACCGAAAACATCCAAAAGCGAGAATTTCCTTAAGCCAGATCTTTATTTTATTTATTATTGCTCTTCACACGCACATACGTACACACACACACACACACACACATGTCTGGTTTTCGTTCATATATATATATATATATATTTTTTTTTTTTTTACACAACATGTTTTATATTCGAAACGTATATGGATGGATTGGTTGAAAACACTCTTAAAAAAATTCTGAACCACAAACGAAATATTGTCACGACACACATTTCATATGTGTTTGCATATGTATGGAGCCGCGAATTTCTATCCATATAAATGTACATGCTTGCACATCTGACATTTTCATATCAATATTTGTAGAAAATGAAAACAGATGAAACAAGAGGAGCGACAAAAAAAAAAAAAAAAAAAACAAAACTATTTGCATATAGCATAGTTCCGAATATGTATAGATGCGAAAGAATGGATTGTTATGCACGTTCCATAAATTTTACAATTTGCAGAAAACTCCTAAGTAAAGAAAGAACTAAGTAAAGAATTAACTTGGAAACTCTCTTTCGCGAAAATGACTCACCGTTAATGTTACTACTGGATCTGGAAACTGTTTGCTGTACTCTACACCACTTACTGGTGTAGTAATTTCCTGTATACATGTGCGCATGCATCGATCCAAGATCACTCGCTGAATCGATTTAAAATTGTCTGTCCCTCTCTCCGCCTGTTCGGTTATCCCTCGGATGTCTGTCGACGACCTCTGCTGCTCAATCTATAAATAGCAATTTTTAGAATATTATGATGAAATGTAGTACACCGACCTATTTTGGTCCATAACCAAAAATAATATTTTTATTTGTTTTTTAACTAAGCGTAATAGAAAACGTTTTCGATTATCGGGACAAGCATCAACTAATTAACTAATTATCTGGGCTTATCATTGATTATTTGCTTTAGGCGTTTATTTCCCCCTTTTTTTTTTACTAGATATAAACTTTATTTTAAGTTATAAGCAGCAAAAGGTAAATGTCGCTCCATATGTGCAAAATAATATGAAATAATTTCCGCAAGCATCTCTTTCTGAGACGTTCGGAACGCTTACTATTTTTGTCCAGAAGCTTAACGAATGTTTCTGGAAGAGAAAGATAATCACGAAAACATCGACACCAATCAGAATTGTTAGCAACATGCAAACATCCAGCCATCTTTTTTTTTTCTCAATGTGAAGCCGATACATCGAAATCATTTAATTACCATACATATTACTTCAGCATTCTGCTTTCACGTTAATTTTTCTCTTTATTCTTCCTAAAATGAAAATGTATATTGAAATACCGTATGTAGGAGAGGTTAGAGAGAGAGAGAGAGAGAGAGAGAGAGAGAGAGAGAGAGAGAGAGAGAGAGAGAGAGAGAGAAAAGAAATTCTTTTTATATATAAGTTGATATTCGGATTTTGGAAAAAATACTTGCACACACACACCTTTGCCCATTGTCCGTTACGCTTTCATATGCAGAAAATATAACAAAAGAGTGGAAGAAGTCAAATTTATATAAAAGCTGCTGTTCGTAGCATTTGCGAGAAATTTTGGGAAACAATATGCATTGTTTCAATTGGATTTCATTTCCGAAATTCAAATGAAACTACCACGCTGACGTATGGATACAGAAGCGAGCATATGGTAAGCAGACGATACGAAAATCTCATTCTTATCCTTTCTCCTTTTTTTTTGTTTTTTCTAGCGTATGCCTAGTTACTACTATTACTAAAACAAGATAACATTTTTCATTACACTTCGGTTCCAAAATATTGTAATAGAGATTAAGTGGAATAAAGGAGTGAATGCTATTTAGTGTTTATTAAAGAAGAAAATCATTCCTTTCAATATGTCTTCAATTATTTTAAATTTCTCTTTTAGTCCAATTAATCAGTTTTTATTTGAATCCAAATCGACTATTATATTATAGTTAGAAGCGCCAAATTTTAATCGCTTAATATTCATCTCTTAGCTTAGAAACACGTCCAAAGTTATACAAGACTTTCTCTTACAGTTCATTTAGTTTAACAAGTGGTGTGAAGCGATATGAAAAAAGAAATTGTTTTTTTTTTTTTTTTTTTTTATGCTGCTCCCGATAATATTAAATCAAATCGATAAATGGTACGTTGCGAAATGCAAATTTACAGCAATATAAGCATTAAATATTCTGCACTTCATAGCTTAAAATGGGGGAGCAAAAAATGTCAATCTTTTCATTGATCAACAACAATAACGGCAACAGTAAAAACTCTGGGCATTGCCATTAAGGCTTTCAAGAGCAAACAGATTCAATGTATAATAACATTAGGATAAATCGTATATAAAAGTTTGTATTGCACAGTAAGCGAATAACTTGAATGCAACTTACAGGCGAGCACACACATCCATATTTACACAAATTCGAAATGCGTATGTTTATGCAATATAATCAAGCCTTTCAGGGTTATTGTCCAATTTTTGTTTTGTTATATATTGCACACACACACACACACACACACACACACATACATACTCACTCACACACTACTAGTATTTCTTCGTTCTTCCTCTGCAAAGATGAAGGCAAATTTTTCTTATTGCTCATCGATTTAAAATTTGCTTTAGCTAGTCGTTACTATTTGTATTTGAGTAGAAGATCTCTCTTCCTCCCTTTGGTATTATTGTTGCTAGCGCCCTTTATGCAACGAATCAGTCTGACTGACCAGGGAAACTAACATTGGGACATATACATTTAACGAGTATGTATATCAGTGTTTTCGATTGTTTTTTGCGTTTTCTTTCCTTTTTCTATTTAATCCATTTTATTATGGATGCATGTGTGTATGAATTTGCGTTTGTGTAAGATAAAAAAGAACCGTACTCTCTCAGGCATTTTCTACGAAGATAGCGAGACTTCTGTGTCCGTGTTCGTAATATTATTTTAAACTCATATACACACATCCACTGACATATATACATTTATAGATTCAATCAGACAATATCTGTAAAGGAAACAAAACATTGAGAAAAAAAAAAAAAAAAAAAAACAAGAAAAGTAAAACTACACTTTGTTGACTTTCCGTCTCTTTGATTCTTAAACTAAGCTGAACAGAACCGACTGCACCGCCTTACAGTTGCATATAACGAAGAATATGAGAGAGAGAGAGAGAGAGAGAGAGAAGAACGAAATATTTCAAGTATTGTTGAGAAAAGTATGTGTTTGTACGTGTGGGTTTTTGCTATAGAACACAAGAGTAACATCATCGTCATCATCATTATCCTCATTGTCATCATCATCGCATGAACGGAGACACGCACCTATCGTTTTATGGTATCAGGAGGAATATCGTCAAGAGGAATTCTACTTGCATACAAAAGACAACATGTTGATGATGCCTAAGAGACTATTACAATAGACATATATATATATATATATATATATATATATATATATATATATATATATTTATATATATATATATATACTAAATTAAAGGACAATACAGAAATACATACAAGCATATAGCTGTTGGACAGTGAGCTCATGAGTAATAAAGGGTTTCGCACATATTGACTCTCGATACCGATAAAAATAATAATGATTATGATAGTTACGAGTAAGTATTTCGGATGTCTGCGTGTCTATCTATGCTGTTTTGCTTTTTTCTTTTTCTTTTTCTTTTTCATTTTTATTTTCTTGTTCGCTTTGCAAAAGTATGTGATGGAAAATTACACTTTGGCAAAACAATTCAATTGAAGGTAATAGTTATCAGTATTCTGAAAATTGAAATAAATGCGTCTTTGATTAGAAGTGAGTGTCAGTATGCTAAACAATTTAAAAGCAATCGGGCACATACACATACATATACACATGATTATGCTTCTATAGTAGTAACATATGGATAATCACTGGTTACAAATACTTTCCAAACAGTTTCATATTTTGTATTTATATTCTCATGTACATTCTCATTCATTGTCGTCTCCTTCGAGAATTTTGTATCAATGAGTTTTAAAATAATTGTTTCATAGATACATTTTCCTTCTTTCTCTCTATATATTAGATATATATATATATACATATATGTATACATATATATATTTTTAAATTTTTCCTTTAATTTCTTTTCTGTTTTTTTTTTTTTTGTACTTTTTTATATATTCAAGGTCTGTTGCGGTTGCAACAAATCTATCAGGGCTTAAAGCCCGGAAATGAATCGTTTCAAGTGGAGATGGTGAAGCGGATTACCAACGTTACAATGGCCATTGATTTCCTGCATACGTTGGAGGATTTCGGTCGTTTCACAAATAAATACATTGTTCTCGATTGTCCTACGGAAATGGCAAAAGAGATACTAATTCAGCACGTTAGAGACATTTCATTGGGACGTCGAACCTATCACTACTTGCTTAGTGGCCTGGTAAGTAAAACAAGTGCATAATAACGGCAACAGCATACAAATATCACACAGTATTGTGTTTTATATGTATAACTATGAATGCGGGCAAGTCAATAGTATTGCATAGGATGATAACTAACGTTTTTCACCAATAAAGTTTTATACTATGTCGACAAATGGCTGAATGAATGACTTAAGATTAACATGGTCAGAGCAACGGATTTATAAGCTAACGAACATGCTGCTCTTTTTAAAGCATGAATAAAAAAAAAAAAAAAAAAAAAAAAGTAGGCACAAAAACGCATATGAGACTTGATGAGCTGATGAAAACTTTTCTTTCTCTCGAATCGTTCACCATGTCACATGCCTGCGCATTTATAATTGTTCTATAAACTCGTTAGAGTATAGATAGATGGGCACACCGTTCTATACGGGTTACTATAAAAATACACACTACTACTCAACATTTCCTTCCTATCTTCGCTAATAAGAATTTCTGTTATCAATAGTTTAATGTCTAACGAATGAACTGATTTACAATACAGGTTATGGATGATCGTTGGGAAAGTGAGATAATCGAATTCGGTGCTATTAATATAACTGGTTTTCGCTTGGTCGATACTAATCGTCGTTTAATTAAGGAATTCTATGAAAGTTGGAAGCGTCTGGACCCAAACACATCGGTTGGAGCTGGACGAGAATCTATATCGGTAAGTAATTGGATGTCAATGTTTAACCTTCTCGGAACGATTAGCGTGCAATGCTGTAGGATAGCCCACAGCATTTGGATAGGAATGCTCGTTTTTGCATTTGCTATAGTTTAAGAGCACTCAACAAAATAATAATATATTTGGCCTTTTAAAAAGGGAGGTGTCCTTAGCCTTTGTTCGTGCCTTTGGCTCACTTGATTCATTTTCGCACCCGATCGGAATGCAAACATTTCCAAGTTTTCGACGTAAATTCAAGCAAATTCAATTTATTTGTTACGACTCGAAGGGTGTTTACCAATCGAAAACACGCAGTTGAAAAGACAGACAAGCGGAGGGGGGACGGAAGGAAAAACGTGTTGAAAAACGGGGGAACCAAAAAGGCCTTGGCCTAGGAATTGTGAAACTTACTTTCAAGTAGTGCAAGCGTTCTCGCAAAATGAGTATTATATTATCCACAACATGTCACTTCGGTAGGCTTCGAAAACTTGTACATCGCAAACAAAAAGCAAGTCCTTACAAATGAAAATTTTTGTAAAAGAATTGTCAGCCGTATTAACAGCAAAAATAACAACAGTGACAACTGGAAATGGTAAATGCTTCTCAGTAATTCAAAATTTGGATATTTTACAGGCACAAGCTGCACTCATGTACGATGCTGTATTTGTTTTAGTGGAAGCGTTCAACAAAATTTTGCGCAAGAAACCTGATCAATTCCGCAACAACATACGACGGGGTCAAACAGCAATGGCAGCGGCTTCTACATCAGCGAATACCACAGGACTAACGAGTAATGGCATGCTTGGTGGCGGTATCGGCAGCAATTTAATGGGTGGAAGCTCATCGGGTGGTAATGGAAACGGCATAGGTGGCGGGAATAGTGGCGGTGTCGGAGGTAGCAATAGCAATAATAACAATGCTCCGCGCGCATTGGACTGCAACACTTCAAAAGGATGGGTGAATCCGTGGGAGCATGGCGATAAGATATCCCGCTATTTGCGTAAGGTAAGCCGCAATACAGCTACTAAAACTTATGCATTTTACATATCAAGCGCGTTTTATCGTACATGCATTTTAACTTCAAATTGCTACAATGTACGTACGTGTGTATGAGTATATGCTTGCATTTTGGCATGTTAAACGGTGACTGAAAATTAAGTAAATTATTGTTGTATAGTTTTTTCTTGTATTTCACTCGCAAATGCGGAAAAGCCACCTATGTGTATGTAAAATATTCGCAATTAACACCTTACGGTATTAAAATGGAAAATTGTTCAGTTGCGCTTATTCCAACCATTCGCATATAACTCATTAAGAGACGAAGGGAGAAAAAGAAATAATAAGAGTTTCGTTTGCCTGGAAGGCTCAATTAAAATGAAGTGCTTGGTAAATTATCCAGACACCGACAGACAACCATATGCAAACAACTACAAGCATATATATATATATATATATATATATACACGCACACACTCACGCACAAACTTATCCATATAAGCATTCACTCAATGAATTTTTTTTTTTTTTTCAACATTCTTTAACACTTGCTCGTTTGTTGTTGAATAGGTTGAAATTGAAGGACTTACGGGCGACATTAAATTCAACGACGACGGTCGACGTGTGAATTACACTTTACACGTTGTTGAGATGACTGTCAACAGTGCCATGGTTAAGGTAGCCGAATGGAGCGACGATGCAGGCCTTCAGCCACTATCTGCCAAATATGTACGGCTGAAGCCTCACGCCGAAATCGAAAAGAATCGCACATACATTGTAACGACTCTGCTTGAAGAGCCGTACATCATGTTGAAACGGCCCGTTGTAGGTGAGACACTAGATAGCAATGATCGCTTTGAGGGTTACTGCAAGGATTTAGCCGATTTGTTGGCCAAAAAATTGGGCATCAATTGTAAGTAGTCAAGCGGCGCGTACCGTTTCATATTCATTAATATTTAAACTGATGTGATATTCTGTCATTTTTACATTCCGCTCGTTTGTTACCATATCAACAACGTTTACTCATTCTTCGCAGTTGAGATGCGTTTGGTGAAAGATGGTACTTACGGTTCCGAGAATCCCAACGTTCGTGGCGGTTGGGATGGCATGGTAGGCGAACTAGTGCGTCGAGTAAGTGTTTAATGCTCAGCAATTATATTCGAACGTGCACTTATAAAGCACGCAAATTTTCTTTTGCATTTACATTTACACGCGCGCACTCACGCAGGAAGCGGATATTGCTATAGCTGCCATGACAATAACCGCTGAACGTGAGCGAGTTATCGATTTCAGTAAACCGTTCATGTCACTGGGCATTTCGATAATGATTAAAAAACCAGTCAAGCAGACACCAGGCGTGTTCAGTTTCATGAATCCTTTATCACAAGAAATTTGGGTAAGTGCAATAAACATATACATTCACATGTATATATAAACATATACTTACGTATAATTGAACGGTATAGGACATGTATCACGCACGAGTCTCTTTCCTTTAAAATCATTTATCTTTACTTAAATGGACGTATGTGTGCCATTGCACGTGTAATATGTGTAGAGAAATCTGTAGCACATTTATGTCTTCTTCTTCTTTTTTTTTCCTTCTTAATTTCATTCTATGAAATGTTTTTCTTTTATTATCCTTTACTTTTTGATCAACTTTTGTACGCTTACAAAAAAAAAAAAAAAAAAAAAAAAAAAA